ACCATTATCCTTGCTCATTTACATTCACATGGTACTCAGATAAAATCTTGTTGTCATCAGGCTTGGACAACTACGTCAGCTGTCAGCCCTTGTAGGATACTCTATGTATTTCTGCTGAAGTCTCTGCCGTCAAAGCGCAGGGTCTGACCTACAGAAGCACAAAGGAAGGGACTCTAATAAATGAGCACAGCCTAAGTGGTACATAAAAGACTGGTTACTGCAAATGAGGAACCTGCAAGGAAATTAAGATCTATATCTCAAAAAAGAGGAAACACAGAATACACTTCTTTGTGTCACAGGCTTTGTTCCACGCAGCCTTTACAATGTATTTCTCATTCCAGTAAGAAGTTATTGTGGTGGGCTGGGAAAATCAGGATTCCTGCCTGTCTAGAACTGCTGAAAATATCAAATTTTTAGGTTTTTGTGTTTTGGGTTTTTTTTTAAAAGGGTGTGCGGGAGGAAGAGAAGTGAGCAAAAATAAAATTCCAGAAATGTAATTCAATAAGGTGTGGTCAAAAGCAAGGTCTCAAAGAAAGCCCTTGGGTCAATTTAACACAGAATGGAAAGGCTACAGAGTTTGAAAGTCTCCCTGTAACTTAAATTACAGATGGTTTCCAGGAGTTTCCTTAATAAAATTTGTCTAGGGAGAAAATATTGGTGTCCATGAGGGGAAAAAGTCTGATTCACGGAAAATGGAAAAGAGAAAGGCAGCTTCAACCAGGAGTTAGCCATCAATCTACTCCTTAGACAGAGACTTGGCAAAACCCATTCTCCTGGTAGAACTTGCCTGGAGTAGACCAGATTGATTTGACAGTCTCTTAGCCTAATAAATGCTTGACCTCAAGGTCTGCTGAATTCACTAAATTCACTATGCAGAGAGAATTGGGAACCAATCACCTCTGGGGAACATCTTCTTCTGCAGCCCTCCCCCAATAAAGGCCTTGACTGCTTTCAGCCTTATCGAGAGGACTAGATGAAAGCTGCTCTCAGAAGAAGAAAGGTTAATCGACTACGCTGCTGTTAATCAATCACCTGGAAAGATTCAGCACTTACAATCGGTAGGTCCCTCTTCCTGCCAAGAGGTTCTTGCATGTTAACCAGGGACCATCTCCTCCAGTTTGAAGGATGAGTAACAGACAGAAACACAATCCAGATAGATGCCAGGTGCCTGATCCAAAGCCAGCTGAAGTCAATAGAAAGACTCCCAGCGAGTTCAACGGGCTTGGACCAAACCCCAAAAAAAGAATTATTATCCAAGGTTTATGCAGCATACAGGTATTGAGCTACTTTTTTAGTAGCGAAGGATCCTTGAAAAGAAGCAGATTCATCACACTTCTGCCTCCCTGTGAAATCAAACTTCTTCAAATCACACTGTGTCCCATTTACCCTGATTGTCGGATATGGCTGACATCCAGCAAAGGAAAATTACCTGCCTGTGACAGCAAAGACAGACACATATATATTTCAAAATCTCTAAGAGTACAGAAAGAAAAAATGCCAAACTGCTAATGTTTTCCTGGCCTTTTTGTAATTGCCGCTAGCCAAGATGATAGCTTCTCTGAAGAGGAAAAGCTAGATCAATTTCTCAAAGCACAAAGGAAAATTTGAGGGAATAAAATTAAAAAGAGTGAATAAAATTAAAAAGATCCTGCCATGGAGAACAAGCTCAGTGCTGAACAACCAGTGGTATGCAAGGTGAAGCTGACAGAGCCAGAGAGAAAAGAAATTCAAGAGAAAACGCATGCTTAGAAAGCACCCCTGAAGTATTTCTCTAGATTAATAGCTGTATTCAGCACCAACATCAAATGATGACAAAGCAGTGACTATCCTTGATGCCTGTTTGAAGAAGAGAGTCTTAGCCTGTTGTTAGAAATCCAGGCCCTCATAGCCCAGCGCAGAACCACTCAATAGCACTCCTGCTGCACCACACAGCCAAAAAGCCACATGACAAACAGTTGAAACCAAAAGATAAACACCTTTAGGACATCTATAGCTACATGTACCATTTTACTGCAGAGTCTGGTATAGACTTTTGCTTCTTTAAGGTATTGCTTCTGGTATTTTCTCACTACCAGTCTTACCCAAGGCAAATTCCTGGCTGAACTTACACCAGCTTTTACTCATCCATCTCCGTCTGCTGCCAGAAGGCTTCAGGCTGCTCAAATCCTGGAACGAAACCGCTGGTTTAAAATTTTTGCCTTAGGAATAACCCAGTTTTCAGTAGAGGCAGATATTTGGAGAATGACAGGCTGGTGCCATGGACTGTCCCAAGTGGTGAAGAAGTACCAGGTCCTTCAGAAGGCTGGAGAGCAATCCAGATGCTGTGGATACTCTCTGCTCATCTGGACTATCACAGCACTACAAAGCATCCCAGTTGATGGCTATTTCCTTCTTATGCAGTGACAACAAGCAACAGATTAGTGAAAGAGAATATATATCATATATATACATATATACACACATATATATATAAAATTTCTGTGTGCTCCAAGAAAACACTTTATCTGAGGAAGGACAACCAGCTTAAATGTAGCTGTGTTCTTTGCCAGTAAACATCTGTGGCTGCCAAAACCAATTCCCTAGTGTTCCTCTTGCTGGCTGAAAAAACTCACAAGACAGATCTTGCATGTACATCCAAAAGGAAGAACTGGTATTTGGTGCCTTTTTCCCCCTTGGCTCAACTGATGAAATAACCAGCACTGCAAGCAAAGCAGGGCAGTTATCGTTAAAGAGTGAAGATGCCAGTCTCTTCCATAAGGAAACCTGACAAGAAATTCCACTAACAAAACAAGAACTAGATTTAAGAGCTACAGCAGCTTCTTTCCCAAAGACTTTGATATTGCAGCCTTATAAATCTGAAAAATTCAGCCTAACTCCATTATTAAGCGTAATGTGCACCGCATCAAAATACACAAGCAGCAGCCCTCTAAGTAGAGCTCTGGTGCAAGAGCCTCAAATTTGCTATCGCCTTTGCATCAAAATAATACCAAAAATTAACAACCTAAGATAAATGAAAATACTCTGTGGATCTCCAGGCCATGTTTGATGTTACTGCAGATGGAGATTCATGAAAACAGTGCCTTATCTTCTCATCTTTGAAACTGGATTTTCACAGCCGTAACTTCTATTTTGGAACAAGATTCTGTTATTATATACTTAACAGTACTGCAGCAACAGGAGCAGGTCCTGTTGCATTTACCATTCTACTGGCTGAACCACAGCCCCTACAATTCTCTTTCCAATTGTGGATCCTGCTGTAGCCACAAAACTAATAAGACATCCAGATACAAAGTGATACATTTAATCTATGACTATTCATTTCTTAATCCACAGTGAATGAGCATAAGGCACCTTCCGCGCAGTACTAATGACCAAGTGAGGACATAGAAAGGTTACTGCCTAACCAGCCTGGCCTTGGAGTAGCGTCCTACAAGGCTTAACCACGCAAACTTGGTTGCACTGAATTGTAACACCTGAAGACAAAAATCTCTTCTATCTAAAAGGAATGGAAAGATGGATGGCAGAGAGATGTAAGGAAAAGTCTGAGTGCTTTATCAACCCAACTGACATCCTATGAATGTTAAGCAATAAAAATTTATTGAGAAATAGAAAAGTCCTTACTTACCCTTATCGCTACCCCCAAATGTCTAATGCAACACAAAAATGCAAAATTCCCTTAAACCACATATTTAAAAATCTTGCAATTTTATTTGCATATAAAGGCCGCTAGATATAATATCACAATAAATTTAAAGAAACAACTGCTTTTCTAAATTCCATTAACAAGGTAACATAAACCAGAACAAAGCTCAATAGCATTTACAGTGGTAGAACAGAAATAACTATCTGCAACAATATTTTGTGCTAGCGAGATTGCATTTACACACAGTGCAAAATAAGAAAAATGAAATAAAAAGACAAGAATAATATTTAAATATAAAGGACAACTAAGCCTTATTTTAGTTAGGCTTGATTGTATCCATTTGCCTCTATACATGTCTGAATTACGACAAAGATTTAACTCGGGCTCTCGAAGGCCTTGAGCACTTGGAAAATGTGTCACATCCTTCATAATTTAGATGTGCTGTACAGCATAATTTTGCAGATGCTATACTGGCAATATTAAATCCTAGCTTAGTTATAATGCACAAAAAATACATATATATATAAATTCATATTTAAAAGGAGTCCGCATTTACATTTTTTTTTTTACTGCATGAAATACCTGCTCTTTGCAGCTTTTCACCCCCAGTCTTTTAAAGCTAAAATAATTTAAAAAACAAACAATAAAAGGTCAATATCACATACAGGCTGTGGCTATCTGTATCAGTCTTTAACGTATAAAGCAGGTGGGGACAAACAACAGAGAAGTCTGTTCTCCCCTTGCTGCATTCTACTGTTAACAGAAACAAGTTTCAGTACATGTACACAAATCAAGAGGTAAACGGGCCCCAAAATATTGTTTGTGCTACTAAAAAATAATGATATAAATGAAGATCAAAAGCTAACATTTAGATCTAGGAAAAAAAACGACACTTAAAAAATCCCGACAATAACGCAAGTTGTGCAAATTTGGGTGTTTTTAAATGCTGCGTATTTTTTAGCTTATAATATAATATTAAAATAAGGTCTCTCACTTATTAAAAGAAAGCTTGGCTGTCCTTTTGAGAACACTATAACAATTTACAATGGCAAATTTATTGAAAAACAAAAATAATTTTACAAATTCACAATGCTTTATCAATTTAAAATGAATGCTGCATTTCCAAAAAGCACAACCTCTAACTTTTCTTCTTGTTTCTTTTGTACCAGTAATTTACAAAAAAAAAAAAAGCCCAAAAAACCCCAAATCCACCCCAAAACAAAACCCTCATGTCTCCCCCAAATTCTCTTTCCACCCCCCGCCCAATTTTGAAATAAACATGTAGCAGAATGTAAGTTTTATAATTAGAAAATGGCAGTTTATAGACCTTCCCCAGTTCCAAATGTGCAGTAGTGCTTCATGATCCTTGAGGGGTTGGAAGGTCAAATATAATTGGAGGGTTGGTTGGCTGAAAGCTGACTGTACATGTTGAAGCATTGATGTACGTTGTGTAACCGTCTGTCATAATGCCATAACCTGTAGGAACAATGTGTCACACTTACTGCAATATAAAACAAACGACGCAGCCCATGGGCAGCCGCACTGAAAGCTTGTTGTGGCATCAATGTTCTGGAATAAAATTAAATTAATCCCTTCAAAACAATATAAGCTCTTGAAAGCTGCCACAAAGGCCTGACTGGAAAAAAAAAAATGCAGTGTACTGTATGTGAAATAGGAACAGATGCTTTTATGTACAAAATTTTTCCCCCCATGGAAAATCCTCTGATGCAACTGGATACAGCAGAAAGAGAACGAAAACCAAACGTGTACTTTTTCTAATTGCTTAATTAGTGGGCTGCAGTTTCCATGCCTGTGACGTCTGTCGTAAGAAACATACATGGAGCAAAAGATTTAGGAGTAACTTTGCTTTTGCCTACAAAAACCCCTTCTCTGGGCAGTGAACCAAACCTGCCTGGTAAGCTTTCCCCATGGATGCCCCATGTCCCTCTTCATGGCACTGCCAAGCTGGTGTTCCCACTGGCCTGTGAAATCTCAGAAACTCATTAGCAGGTTAAACTCATTAGATATTTTACACACACATGTATGTATGTGTGTATATGTTATCCACCAGCGACAATCATGACTAAGGAAAGGAATCTCTTGTAATAAGCACAACGGAGTGATGGAGGTCAATGGACGACCTCTACCTTGAGCAGAAAATTGAGGTTAAGGTTAAGGAGATGACCGCTGTTCATTATGAAGGGATCTTGATAATTCATTCCCAAATGAAAAAGCATAAGAAGCAAGTATTAGTCACTGTTTTTTCAGCATGCCAAGGACTTGACTCCTCAGTAACACTACAGCATCAGTTTCAAGGTGGTGAAGACTGTTGTCAGCCTTTTAAACATCTGGTCAGCATTGCTCTTGCTCAAGGTGTGTCTGAAGAACCCGCAGCAACGCTCTTGCCCTGCCAGTCTCGGTCTTCTCTCTCACTTGCCGCACAGGAAAAGGACAAGCAGAGGGTTGTGCACCCAGTAATTTCAGGCAAGTGGAAAAAAATATAGCGACCCATGAACTGAGTCACAACTGAGCTTTCATTCAGCAAATGTGACGTGAGAAAACAAACGGTAAGAGAAGTACAGAGATTCTGAGAATGTAGAAGCTCTCCTCTTACAGACATTCTCTCAAGGATATAGGGGCTCCAGTTCCACCAGTGCAGAGGGCGAGAGAAAGCTTTGCCAGTGTTTTCAGCTGACATCCGCAAAAAGCTAACAAAGAAGCTTGAAGAAAGATCTAGGAGGAATTTGGCACAAAATGTGCTTTTTAAAAAAAAATAAATCAGAGTTTCATGGAGGAAGATAACTTCCCATTGCACACTCACAGGGGAAAAATGTTTTTCTTTGAAACCATTATGATACAGTACAGATCACTGCTGTCTGAAAGCTAAGATAAATACGGCTACCCACAGTGTCTATCAGAAAGAATAATCACTTCAGAATTGCTGCACTGTCCGCCCGTAATTATTTATTTATTTAGACTGGCAATTTTGATATAGATCGTCTCATGGTGGTAAAAACCTTGTTGGTGGTTGTTCTTGTTTATCAACCAGGAAAAAAACCTTCATCCCCAAAATCTGCGTATAGCCTCAGTTGACTTAATGGCCTGTGGTGCATGCTCATCTCAGCTGGAGTTGGGTGACAATTAATTGCACCGTAAGATAATGCTCTTAACATTTGGCTCTCTCTTTCTGTACTGAAACAGGCCATTCTTACGTCTTCTGCGTAAACGCTAAACAGGATTTTAAGTTTTCTTTAGTATTCTTGTAAGAATTTATTTGAACATTCACTTTTAATGCATGCTGCCACCTTTCCTATGAGAGTAAGGTGCTGCGCATGGTTCCTCAGTGCTATCTCATAATAATAATCTCATACATTAAAATAGCTTCATCTCTCATTACTTAACACTGTTACAACTAGAAGTTACATCATTCAATGTCCCTACAAAGGCTGTGGACAAATGTTTTAGCTAGAAGTCTTGCGGTATTCTCACCTTCTTAATATGTGGATTACTATTTATACAAAACATCTGAAATTTTCCTGGGTGCGTTAGAAGACTGCTACTTATGTTACTATACTTAAGGTCACTTCAGTATTTTCATGATAAACACTTTATTTACAGATACCAGGCAAGAAATTTGTTGAACAAAGTCATAAGGGCTTCAAAAAAACCAACACTTCTAGCTGAGAGCTGTTCTTTTTTAATTTTTCTGTTATGAAGTTCTCTAAACCTTTAAGCCTATTGAGAATCTAGTTAGAGTCAATGGAGAAACCTCCAGGGGGAAAACTATAAAGCATTTAATGTGTAGTTCTGAGTTCTAGGGTCACAAAGTCTTACACTCTCTCTGAGGCAGAACTCCTAGAGTTTGTCTCTCAGACACATGAAAGCTACAAAATTGTATTAAATATTTACGTATCTCCAAAACGTATTTAATCTCTCAGTCTCTTCCACTGCCACAAATTGAACTGACTGTTTCTGAAGCTTCACACTCTGCCTGATTTCGTACCGACAGTGGGGAGATATCTCTTCTAAAACGTGCAGCTGTTGGAAGGTAACATGCACGGTACAAGCTGCATTGCAGGGTGCTTTTAGACATGCAATCTCTCCTCCTGATGTCTGACTCAAGATGCCCTCTTTTCTCCTCTTCCTTATGCACTGAGTGGGGTGAGCTGAGACAGTGAGTTTTCTTCAATTTTCTTTTTTCTTTTTTTTTTCTAGCACCTTTTTTTGGCTCCTGTGCTTGGAATAATGGGTATAATTTTCATTTTGGCTTGCAAGTGTGGGGAATCTCATCTGTTTCTTTAACGAAGTTTGTCAAAATTTGAATTGCTTTCAAATAACCTGTATAGAACAACCTTTGCACAGTGAAAGATGTAGGTGGGTAAATGTAGCACACATTCCTAAAATAGTCTGCTTTAATTCTGGCATAAATTTATGAAGTGTCGTGCATGCAATCCCTTCCCTCCATCCCCTCCCTACTTTAGTCCAATATGCCATTATCCGCCCTTTGCAATACACCATCAAAATGTGCTGCTTTGAAATCAGCCTGAGCTCAGGGAGGGAAGCAGTGCTGCTCCTTACCTTCATGAATCCCACCAAAGACATGGAGTTTGGGCCTTACTCGCCTCTGCACTGTGTTCAACAGTTCCACACAACCTACTCTTTGCAGCTCCTTTGGAACCCAGTCTCGAAATCCTAAAGGCAAAATGCAATCAATACTATCAATTTTCTCTATCCAGGCAAGGTTTCACGTAGTCTTTCAGGAAGTCATAATTCACAGAAGGTTTATTACATTATCTGTAGTCGTAACCTCTCCATTAAAGCACACAATGGCTTTTAAGAAATGTTTCACTGTCACTTTGTCTTCCTTAAGATTTCCTCCTTCCATCTGCATTAGTATATTTCTGGATGTAATTTTTCTCTTTTTTTCTACTTTTTTTTTTTTAAACTACTGGTTTAAACTCATCTTCTACCTTGAAACCCCAGGACATTTATTCCTGGCAGTGCTGCAGCTTTTTATCCCCTTTCCTCTGGCTCTTCCAGCAGTCAGCTTCCCAAGGCAGCTACGTGGGAAGCTCCTCAGGATATCCAATACCTGCGCCACCCTGAAGATTTAAAATACGGTCTCCCACAACTTCCAGAGGACCACGGTCTGAAGTGTCACATCACTGAGCTCCCGATCACCATCAACGAGCAACGCAGCCAAACATCTTCCATCGACCTACTGCCAATTGCCTGCGCTGCCCCTCGCTCCTACAGATAACACGGGGAAATGTGCCAAACTTGACATCAGCTACTCCGGAAGTCTGCTGCCTGGCCTGGGGCTGGGAAGGATCGGCAGGGCAAGCTGAACAAGGAAGACTAAAAGGGAAATCAGGAGCCACATCCATCTGCGGCATGTTCTACTGACTGCAGAGAAATTACACCCTGTGCCAAGTTTATGCCAGGCAGTAAAAACATGTTGTGACATAAACTTGACTGAATTTTGGAGAGAGCAAAGAGTCCAGCTACAGCTCTACATCCCTTAGTATTTACGTGATTTAAAAAAGCAGCATTTTGTCAATATTATAATGCAGGCTGAGACCTAGGCCCCCTCCTTTTAGGCACAGTACTAGCACCTGACCTGTGTCTGTAGTTAAAATATGGTGGCAACCTTTTGAAATTGAACTTCATTATTGACATCAAAACCAAAATTTAAGTACACTTATTCAATTAAAGCACACATTAGTGTCTGCAGCTTCACTATTTCTAGATGAACCCAATTCAGAGCAGATGGATTAGCAGCCCTTTTAAAATAGCACTCCTGAAACATTATAAATATGCTTGTGGGGCTTTTTGCTTCTTTGGGAAGATAAACAGATTAAAAGAGAGCTATTGAAAGTGTTGGCTTTCAATATTTGGTGCACTCCACTGTCAGCAGAGGATGCATTGCTGCTTTATCAAAGCAGCACACTGGTAGCTCTAGCAAGACTAATGAGAATTTGCAGATCATCTTACAACATTCCCTAAGTGGTATTAAAAGAGTAAGCAGGATATAAAAGGAATGGCAAGTACATTACTGGTCAAAAACTTTCTGGACTCCTTTTATCCTTAGCTCTGCTTAGATGCTGACTCTAACAGAATTGTGGTATAAAACATAAGCAGGCCTTAATTTTTGACTCCATGGCCACTGGGAAGTTCTATGAGAGCACTGAGCCACTCTAGTAGTGCTTAAACACTGATTTATAATGGCATCCTGCACTTCTGAGAAGGTTTTTATATTCACTACCATCTCAAAAGTCAGTGACTTCGTGTGATCATGTGGCGATCTGACCCCAGGATTTCCAGGCTTACTAAATCCCTGACAAAATCATGGTCTCCTAATAACAGTAATGAAGAAGAGACTGACACACTTTCTTATCTTTCTAAACCCTGTTTATAAAAGGCAGATGCTCAGTTTTGTTAAACCAACTCCAATATTTAACATATGGACCTAGACTGCTTGCCACATGTGTCTTAAAGAAAATCAGCAAAATTTACCTAAGTGAAAAATTTCAACTACTTTACAAAAAACCAAATTATGCATCCATAGACTTGTGCTCACCTGTCATTAATTTGATTACACAACAGTTATCTGAGAACATAATTTTACTTCTTTACAAATTTGCTGCAAACCATTTAATACCTTTAAAAATACCGTTACGTAGTTTAAGTTTACAAGGACGTTATCGAGGAGAATATGTAACTACATATTCTGAAGTCTTGACTGCATGCTCTAAAATTTTAAGGTCAAACACTACTGTAGTAGAAAAACATTTTAAAATTTTTGGTCAATCTTTGAAAAAACAACACAAGATTGGAAACTGTTTGGCAGATAAATAATGTTCTTAAATATAAAACATCAAACTATAATGGCTACGATGGCATCAGATATTTGATATTGCCTAGCTTAAGTTTAACAAAAAAATTTAGTTTTAGACAGCTGGAAGCTGCTAAGCCTAATAATCATTTTACACTTCTTCCAAAAAGGATTTTTAATTCATAGTTTTGAGTGAGGATATGAGTACAGCTTCTAGCATTATTATTTTTGCTTACTTTGAAAGTAAAAGTCTCATGCAAAAAATCACACACAGCTTGTGTTTCACTTACCAAGGGGAGGTCCATGTGTCATTAGTATATCAATTCCGTCAGGAATAAGGTTCCACTTGTCTAGTAAGGACTGACCTCTGGGTAGGTTAAAGCCCCATCCATTAAACCATGGTGTCCTTTGGGGGAAAATAAGATGGACTGCATCAGTGCAAAATAAAAAGTCTCATTCTCCCTCCCATTTTTCTGAATTAAAACAATTTCAGTGCTTCAGAGGTTACTTGCAGACAGCCTTTTTGAAAGGGATGACTCTCGAACAAACTGGATCAAATACATACATGCGCTAATCTGTATGGTTGGGTTTACATTAATATCCTATGCTCTTTTCATACTTCAAGAGTATTCAGCCCTGTATTTACTCACTAGTGAGAAAGGGAAAATGTTAAAATAACACAGTCTAAATATAAAGTTTTTTCCAAAATTTGTCGATGTTCAAATGTAAGAACTCCTTCTTTATGTCACCTACCAAAATGAGCAAGAATATCCTGGATTTTTTTTGGAGGCACGAGTCAATTTCTCAGGGCACCGAGCAGCTCATGGGAAACCTCTCAGCCAGAAGGCGGCAAGACCCAGTGGCTGTAAGCACCACCTGCACTGCGGTGTTTCACCAAACTCAGACTTGCTCCTTTTAGCACTTTTAATGTCAGAACGCTGTCACATAACTGGGCTTTGACTCCCAACACTTCTACAGATCAAGACCTTGTGATGCCCAGCCTCACAATGACATTTTCAAGAGAACTCCTCGTTTAAAAATAATTTGGCATTTCTTAAAGTAAACTGAGACCCTCAGTCTCCTCCATCATAGCTTAACATTGTTCTGAGACATTGGTTAACCATCAGTCCGAGCATGTAGTGATGAAAACCAGACCTTCTAGGGTATATATGTATACGTGTAGTAGCCAAATTGAGCAATTCTGTTGCAGGTATGTTTTAATAAAGCATTTCCTTATCAGGGAGGCACATAGAGCAATTGTTCTGAAGAGATACTGTAATATTTACACCTATTACCAACAGCTTTTTATACAGCTGCTAGTATTGTAATAACTTTAAGAGCTTTCATCCATGTGTGTCTTTCGTAAAGCTCTAGCAAGAGATTTCAATTTTGAGGTAGGATACTCCTTCCCTAGCCCTAAGCCATGTGGTGCACCTTTCTGAGAGTTCAGACTACTCTTGCAGTCTTCTATGTACCGCAGTTTTGAACACAAAAACTAAAAACTGAGGGGAAAACCAATGACAAACCAACCTTAAAGAAAAGCATACCTGTTAAAAAGAGAGAGGTCATTAAGAGTCCTAGATCATTTCATTATGTAACCTGCTTCCTGTGCCCTCTGAATTATGCATGTCCTCAGCTGCAAATACGCATTGAAGTGGAAATTTCCT